TATTCAAAGATAAACACTCCACCTATGAACGTTTGCTGCAGAAAGCTAATTTACCTTCGCTACTAAACAGACGCTTACAGGATATATGCATTTTAATGTACAAAGTTAAACACAACCTTGGCCCTTTGAATATATATTTGTAATATATTTCAGAAACAAAACGCTTCCTATAATTTAACACAGGCCGACTTTTCTATTCCTAGATACAACACAATAACTTACGGCAAACATTCACTACGCTATTTAGGACCTAAATTGTGGAGTAAACTGACAACTCACGACAGATCAGTCACAACATTAGCTAGTTTCAAAAACCGCATACGTAAGCGTGATCTCAGCTCCCTGTTAGATGATGGCTGCAGGGTTTGTGCTCTATGTACTTCTTAATTCATTTCATATCTTTTTTTCATACGTGATATGACTTAATTTTATTCTTAAGTAGGTAATATTCTCTATAATTAAATTTTATCCATTTTATTTGTGTCCCCACACTAGTGTGGGATAACTCCCAAACTAGGAGGTTCTTTGACACGTTAATAAAGTTTCTATCTATCTATCTATCTAATCAGTTTTATTTAGCTGGAAATTATCGAATTTGAATGTGTTTTAAGAGTAGGAAACTCTACATCTTCCGGATGTTTTAGGATTTCCGGGGTTTCTTGCTTGAGGGCTCGTCTGCTGAAACAACAACTGAAGCAACACCGTGGGGACTGGTAACTAGCCTTCTGATTTTGCTCAAAATGGAGGGTCCTCCGAACGGACCTGGATTTCCCTAAACATGAGATTTAACCAAAAGGAACTCGCTTTTATTGCTACACGGACAGACATTGCCTTTGACAAGGAAGGTATTTTGTGGTTGAAGGAGAAAGAAGGTCATTTCTGGCAAAGGAATGAAGGTGAAATATAAACAGATGACTTCAGATGCGCCTATTAGAAATCGATATAAATCATAGGAAAGTATTTATAACATCCTCGTCAATTACCTAACACTCAGTTAATGAATTTTTTATCTTTGCTTATTGAATACCTTAAAATGGGTGTAATAACTTTAAATGTATTCTTTTAATCTAAGTTCGTCCATTTTTTATGCCTAACCCGAGGTTTACCGCTATACTTGTAATAGGCGAATTACATTTCCAAGCTTATGTCGTTTCAAATTTCTTGTCTAAAATGCCAATAGGTCCCATCGTGGAATAATGAATGGTTTAATTGCATTTTGTAAAATCATGTAGTTTGATTTGGGTTAATTTTAGTCAGAAGAGCAATATTGTAGCGTTCTTGTACAAATATTGTTCTCATAGTTTTATTTGAAACGAAACCGAAAAAAATGCAAGAATTAATACACATTAACGTAGCTCCATTTTATGCCTTTAAAAGCACACACAACCCACTCTATTCGCTCCGACGATGGGCTAACGCTCGAAACGTCAGCTTTTGTAATCGTTTCGGTGGCCAATTTACCATTTCAACTTTGTTGATATAATTATCCAAATTATTAGTACACATTTATCGAGATTATCCCGTAAGCTGTTGTTTTTCTATTGCAAAGTTCACACCCAGTTAGCATATTACTTTCCAGGCAGCGAGGTTTGTCTAGAAAATTGGAATACTTACAGAAAGTTAAATTCATGTTTTTTTTTTAAGTTTATACAGAAAGATGGTTTCGTCTCAGAGGAAATCTGCTCTTTTACTTCAAGACAAAAGAAAAGGTTCGTATGCAACTTTGATGTGCTACCCTAACTTGCCTTGAAAACTGCATACCAAGCTCCTCAAAAGTTAGTTATGCACTGGCAATCACAACAGACCACCATGATGCATATAGCTGTAATGCAACCAGTTGATCCCATTGCCTGAAGAAGACTTGCAGTATGTAGTCAAAATTCAAAATGTTGCACTCTACATCTAGTGACTTTGTCGTGAGACAACAGAACAAATTTATATTATCATTCAGCTACCACGAGGAACAATATAATACAAATACAATATTCTTTATACAATACGGTACAATATTCTTTATTTAATGAAGGTGACGTAATTAACCCAATGAGTTATCTAACTTATGGCCTTCACAGCAATACAAAATACACATATAAAACAATGCCTAATCAGCAATATACGACTTACTACAAGAGAAACTAAAACTATACAAAAATTTGGTTCAACATAGATATAAGGTGATAAACACTAATTTCCTTCTAATACAGTTACAGTAAAGAGAAAAACAACACCCATAACACATTAGTAATCTTCAAGATGAGAAACATTACTAACAAACCTATTTCATAACAGTAATAGGTTATTTACCTGTACAGTGGTTGACCTGTATTTAGTGACCACCCATCATTTCCAGTGGGTGACTGCCTAATACAGGGTCAACTGCAGTAACAGAATAACTGTTACTGGGACCTTGACTTTAATCTGGTAACCATATTGAATCTAATGGATGTAGAATCAGTTAAACTTGACTCATTATGCCATAACAAAATAAGGAACAATTTTCTTAAATTGTTTTTTTTTGTTTTGAACTTGTGATTTTGCTCAGACTTCTGACCCTGTTGGTGCTATCGTGCTTGAGCGGTGCAGAGTATTAAAGGATACAGTAACTCAGAAGAAACATGGATTCACCATTGGTAAATTTTTCCTTCTTCAGTTTAAGTTAAGCATTGCATGCAATTGTGCATCTTCAGTTTAAGATTTCTCCTCACAATATCAACACAATATCAAACAGACAAGTGATGAGAATAAATAGAGGATATTACATGGTTGTGCAGGGACACAAATTTCATCTTCAAGTGCTGTAAGTATCTCTCGCGAGTGAACGAAGCAAACAAGTGAGAGATACTTTCAGCGCAAGAAATAAAATTCGTATCCCCAAGCGGCCAAGTAATGTTCTGTTTATTTTATAGATACTGATGAAATTTCTACATAAAACACAACTTTTTTTAAAATTCATTTTCAAAACAGCAAAATAGTGCAATTAAAGTGGTCACCTATTGCAAAATGCCTGTCACAAAAAATGTTAGGAAACTCGGATGTAAAGTTATAAAGGAGAAATAAAGACAGTTTTAATACTTATATTTTCTGTTCCAACAAGTCAAAATTCTAATGAAGAAGAGAAAAAAAATCATGTTAGTAACCATGGTGACACCAATATCCTCACACGTGAAAGATAAAAATAGTATCTACACTGCGCACGATGATAAGAACTAATTATTATATAGATACTGATGAAATACCAGGATTTTTCCTTTTACTAAAAATCATATCTTCACCGTGAGCAGTGAAGATACTATTTTTATCTTTCAGGTGTGAGGATGTTGGTGTGGCCATGGTTACCAACATAATTACCCAATTGCTGTTTTGAAAGTGAATCAAAAAAGTTGTCTTTTATGTGGAAATTTCATCAGTATCTATATAATAAATAGAACATTACATGGCCGCTTGGGGATACGAATTTTGTCTTCGAGTGCTGAAAGTATCTCTCACTCGTTCACTGTGCTCACTTGCGAGAGATACTTTCAGCACTCGAAGATAAAATTCGTATCCCCAAGTGGCCATGTGATATCCTCTATTTATTAACCGAGTGGGAGGTCTGTATGGGAGAATCTTGATCGAGGTCGCCAGTACAGACCAAACGCAGTGAGGTCTGTACCAGCGACCGAGGTCAAGATAATTTCTCCCATACAGACCGACCCAGCTCGGTTAATATGTTTATTATATAGCTGTGTCTTATATGCCAGTTTTTTCTATTCTTTGTACCTTTTTTACTAGACTGGTCAAGATGGGAAACACTAGACCGCTTTCAATATTGATTTCAGCCAATCAAATTCGTGAATTTGGTAGTTCCCAGTCCTTGTGAGACGCAGCCATATAATAAGAAAAAATTTCAAATGGGGGATTATCAGTTGACCCAATACCCAATTCTCAAACTAACTTAAAAAGAATAATAAGTTAATAATAAAAATAACTTAATAAGAACTGTATCGCAGACAGTAAGGACAATTGCTAATTAATAGATCCTGCAAGTTAAAGGATTAAATCCAAAATAACAGCAGCAAAGGAGCCATCAAATGCGGTAACTCTAATGTCATGACTGTTATATTCTCAAAGAAATTGTGATAAAATTTGTTTCTTGCATGATGGTTTACTGACTGGCTGTTGTTTCCTTTAATTCAACAGTATTTGATGAAGGTGACACTCAAAGTTATCACCTCAGTGGAAAATCAACAAAAGACACCGAGGAATGGATGGAAAAGATTAAAAATGCTAGGTTAGTGGAATGTGTTTTTAGTTATGCGTGGTAATCTCTGAACAGCTCAGACAAGGACCTTGATAGTATGGGCAAACATAGTAGAGACAAGGGTAAAATAGAAGATAAAATTAACTTAAAACCAAGTATTTTCAATTGAACACAATGTTTTCACCTCTTTTTGTCATTACTTTTGTGCAATTCATTTATTATGTTGTTAACTAAATTTTTATATTCTTTCTATTTTATGCTAATGTTAATTTTTATTTTTCCTTTAATTACTCTTTTCCCAACTCTGTCTCCCTTGTTTCCTGCCCCAACCCTGAAGTGTTCTTCAAAGGGAATCATCTGACATTTACTTTCTAAAATTGGCCATGGAACACTTTTACTGACTGTTGTTTTTCTCCTTTAATAAACAACTAGTTATGAAAGTCTAAGGAACAAGCTTCTAAGCTTGAGAAAACAGCTGATGGAGATTACCGGAAAGGTAACATTTGTTTAAGAAAAATTTTTTGCAGGGAGTTTCCAAGGTAAACCAGGATTGCTCTTAATTACTTTTCAACACCTTGTAATTGGTCTAGATCATAAAGGCCACCAATCAGATCCAAAACTAAAATGAGTCTCTCTGGCTGGCACTTGTGTTAACTGTGGTTTTGCTTTTTCTGGAGAACACTCAATTGAAAGAGTCCTGTGAACCTTGTTTCAAAATGTTGCACCTTTTAAATGTTTTATTATATTAATATTAAACTGAAATTTGTATCTATTTATGCCAGGATCCACTTCCAGAGTTCCATCCCTTAGCCCAACAAGAGGTAATTTATTGATTCTACAAGAGATTTTCAAAAATTGCAAGAATCTCAAAACTAGATTGTTGATCACATGTGGCTCTTGCATCAGCATAGCTGCACCAAGCTGGGAAGCAAGGGGTATGGTAGACATTCTCAAAACTAGATTATTGTTCATATTTGGCCCATGCATCAGCATGGTTGCACCAAGCTATGAAGCATGGGGTACGGCAGACAGCAGAGGGAAGCAATATTGAAATCTTGGGGGAGAAGGGTTTAAGTTAACTTTATAAAAATTTTTGTCAATTAAAAAAACAGACATGATTAGTTGTGCTTTCCCATGCATCAGGCAGTGAGGTTACCTTATTTTACTTTCAGTTTTCATTGGCTTTTATCATACTTACTCTTTGTTCTGATTGGCTTTTGCGATTACTTTGGTTTTACAACACTCATTTGTAATGTGCCCTAAAATGGATTATTTCCATCCACAGCCCCTCAAACCTGGCATTGGTCAGTATTCATCTACAAGCACAGCAGATGCTGATGAAACTCCGTTCTTGGAAATGTGTATTGGTAAGTTTAGATTAGAAACTCACAGTAGAATTATGACAAAGAATGTGCCATGTGAGTTAAGCCTCTTAACCCCTAACAAAGCTGACTGAGATGGATGTAATGGTCAGAGATTAATAACAATTTTATGTACTAGTAACAGGGGTATGCACAGCTCTTACCTAAATGTTAGCTATTTAATAGTAAAATCCTTATTATATGAATTCTCTGTTTCTGGAGGCTTCTTTAAAAATCATCACCTGAGAATGAGTTTGGAAGCTGCTGCGAGGAAGCTTAGTGTTCTCCACAGATTTTTCAGTAGTCAGCCATTAAAAAAAAAAAAAAACAGACAGCAAATTAAGGTTGAAATTTATATCAGATCAAGACAGATATTTTGCTGCTTTCTCTTGTAAAAGTAGCTGAATCAGATGTTTCAGAAACAAATAGCTTTCACTGAAAGTATGTACCTTAAACTTGGTCAGTAAGCAGTATTTATTTTTGCAGCTTGTCATCAGCTGATTAGTTCAGAGGAAGGACAACTGCCAAATGCCTTTGTTGAAATTAGAACAATGACCCCACCATCGACTTCTTGGAGTAAACATGCTCAGACTGAAATAATTGAGGTTAGTTTTAGGGTGGGGTGACCGAGGACAGGAAGCAATTTTTTTAGAATAAATTTTGGAGATGGAAAATTAAGTAAGTCTGTTTATTTTTTTGGTAATATCAACTAAGTTGAAATTGTAAATTGGTCACTGTAAAGAGTTAAAAAGCTGACATTTTGAGCATTAGCCCTTTGTCATTCGCTCTGATAAAGGGCATTCAAAACGTCAGCTTTTTAACTCTATGTGGTGGCCAATTTATAATTTCAACTTAGCTGGTATTGCCAAATTACCTTGTTACCCCACCAAGGCAGCACCACAGTTTCTTTAGAAACTTACCCCTTTGTTTATTTTTTTTGTAGATGTTGATGCAAAGGGTTAAGTAGTATTTTGTGTTACTAATATGGGCTCCAAGCTTATTCTGTTTTTAAATATCACCACTTCGAAACTTGAAAAAAAAAAAAAAAACTGTTTGCCAGAGGTAAAAGTTGAGCCATTAGTACAAAAAATGTCTGGCTGGTTATCATTTTGGAGGTTCATAGTACCTGTATATCTGAGGGCTTCATACTTGTACACTAAAAAGGAACAGGTAAATTGTCCAAAAAAAAAAAGTGTTAATTATATTTTAGACCATTGACACTTGGTAATTAAAAAAATGCAGCCTTACACATGCCCACCAAATAAAAGATAAATAATAATAAAT